CCCTGAGATAAGATCAGTATGGTGCCCTTTAAGGAATCAGAGGCAAACACCATCTTCGTTTTTTAAAAGACTGCTGAAGACAAGACTGGGAAAGGACTACCCTACTAGCCAGGGTCCAAATCTTCCTTTGTATTTCAGGGTTCAGCCCTTGGCCTCACACAATGCTTAATACACAGTGAATTAAGGACATGCTGTTTTCTCCATGGGCTTCCCTGGTGGCTCAGGTGGTAAAGAATCTGCCTGCAATACAGGAGACCGGGGTTTGATCCCCGGGTCAGGAAGATGCCCTGGAGAAGGGAATGGCTACCCTCTCCAGTATTCTTGCCTGGAGAATCCCATGGACAGAGGAGCCTCGCACAGGTCACAAAGAGTCAGACACAAGTATTCACACACACTTATCTTCACGTACCTAAAGCTTTGTCAACCAGGGTTAAACCAATTTTGAACAGTTCCAATAGGTAGAAGGTTCAAGAAGGTAGGCAAAAAATGGATACAGAAAGGCACAAGGAGCAGTGAGAGGTCCCAGGAAAGGAATGGGTGTTCACCAAGGGGACAGGGAATCCCTACCACTTATTTCCAGTGCTCACAGGTTTCAGTGGAGGATTAGAAGGAAGGAGGGAATACATTTAGGCCCTCGTCTGTGCCTGGAATGGTTTTCAGCAGTCACTCTGCCTGCAGTTGGATGTCTTGTTTCCCCTACATTTGGTGGGGGTGGGGAGCTGAATGAGAGAGAGAGGCAGGCAAATGCTCAAGGTGAAGGGCAGAGAGGAACCTGAGAGTTGTTCTCCCTTTTTCCTCATCTCCTAACTCAGAATTCAAGACCAGAAGTTCTGTTAAACTAGTTCATTTCCACTTACACGAAAGGCTTTTACATCTGCCGGGGGAACTAATCACCACTAACACAACTACTTGGGAAAATTCCAGGTTCCCAGACTCAAGTTCCTGGAGGAGGGAATGGCAATCCACTCTCATATTCTTGCCTGGAGAATCCCCATGGATAAAGGAGCCTGGAGGGCCACAGTCCATGGGGTTGCAAAGAGTCGGACACAACTGAGCAACTCAGCACAGCACACAAAGACTAAGTTGGGCTTCCCCAGTGGCTCAGCGTAAAGAACTGACCTAACACAGGAGACACAGGTTCAATCCCTGAGTCAGGAAGATCCCCTGGAGAAGGGCACAGCAACCTACTCCAGTATTCTTGCCTGGAGAATCCCATGGACTCAGAAGTCTGGCGAGCTACAGTCCATGGAGTTGGCTTGACTGAGCATACACACACAATGACTAAGTTATACATAACCTTACACAACATAATCCATGAAGTTGGAAACTACATCAACCAGAATCACTCTCTCATCATAAACACCACCCCCCCCAACAGAATAGGAGGAATTTGTTACTATCAGCCTGACTTGATAGTGACCTCTGTGATTTCTAATAATTCTAAATTTGTGATCAAGTTAAGAGAAGGAAGTACCTGCATTTTAGACTGTCTAAAATTCCCTTCCTCAATCATTACCAAAGCCATGCAAATTGGCATAAAAGCTACCATCAAGCTACCATCAATGTTTGCAGACATTCTCTTTGAACAAATAGAAAAAAAAAAGTAGGTGGTTTTCATGTAACGAAAAAGTAGTTCTAGCAGTGGACAGAGAACCCTGCACCTGCTCCACAAGTGAAAGGTAGACTCAGGAACTGATACTTACAATCATGCCCCAAAATGAAAGAAAGAAGGAAGCCGTCACATCAGCACGGTAACAGTCTTACCGTATTTACTGCCCAGCAGGACTGTTTGTCAGTAAGCTACAGTGAACACAAAACAGCCCGCTTTCAGACTGGCGACCCTGATCACAGGACTCAAAGAGTGAATTCCACCAACCATAGGAAGCCAAGGACCCCCATCTCAACTGATCTCCCTGGCATCAGTTCCATGGGAGTTCCCCCATGGGACATAATCCTATTAAACATGTGTCTCCCCAACAATGTGCATGGGAAGCTGATATCTTCATTTTACATTCTGCACACCTATCAGTAGGGACCATCTCAGATCAATGGTGTCCCAAGCTCTCAGTCTAGCCAAACAGTCCCATTTTACACCTTGCTAAAAGGCACCAAACCTCAGAGGGCAACCAAAACGATAAACAGCATTTTTTTAAATTAAATGACATCTGATACAGCTGTAAGGCAGCAGCATACCCACCCAATGCTAGGGGCCATCAGAAAAACCACCAGGAATGTACCCCGAATGCGGCTCCAATTCTGAGTTGCCAGGCTAGAACCGGGCAGACACTTGGATGCTTTGTGGGCTTTAAAAATAAATTTAAAAAAAGTGATCCTTTAATGATAGTTAGAACTTCAAAGGGCTTCCTTGATGCCTTAGCTGGTAAATAGTCCACCTGCAATGCAGAAGACAAAGGAGATGCATGTTCGATCCCTGGGTTGGGAAGATACCCTGGAGGAGGCGATGGCAACCCACCCAGTATTCTTGCCTGGGAAATCCCATGGATAGAGGAGCCTGGTGGGGTAGCAAAGCGAGCATGAGCACTTCAAAGGATTAAAATATATCTTTAAAAAATATTATATTTTCATTCTAATCCGTGGAAAAACAAAGTAGTAATGTTGACACTGGCATTTCCTTCCTTCTCACAAGGCAGATTCGGTGTAAGCATGTTTCAGAAGTAACTTGCTGTGAAGGGAGGCACCCCAGAACTGCTGGACACGAGGGTTTCATCATCCCCGGGACACTACAGCCAGCGAGGTGGGAGAGAGGCAGGCTTCAGGACCAGGAGGCAGGAGAGCTGCCATGTCACAACCTCGCTGCCCAGAACACAACAATAACATGCACCCTAAACACAGATGAACCCAGCACCGGCGGTGGAAATTACAACACAAATATATTTCTCATGCAAAATAGGACCAATGACACATATTTACACGATGCAAATAAAGTGCTGAAAAACCTTTCTTTTGGGGATACCATTGTGATTATGTGGTTTCAGTGAAGGTTAATGCCACATGGGGAACTTGCAACTCTGTATAACCAAGATGAAGATAGTATAGAAAATGCACTTGGGTAGAAACCTGGGTGTGTGACAGGCTGCTAGGAAAAAACGAAAACAGGAATGACAGAAGTATATTTTCTTTTATATACAAAAATGAAGGCCCCAGGTATGATTTGCTGAAGTAGCCATCCACAAGATGTTAAATTACTTTTCCTTTGCTTTGGTTAAAACAGTCTAGGAACGGCAATCAGTTCCCCTTCTACGAAGAGCATATAAACACAGCGACAGGACTGCTTTCAGGAGAAAATAAACAACATTTAAGAAAAGAAATTAAATTAGTTTTAAACTAAAACATTTACCAATAAATAAGTTTCTTAAAAAGGTAACATCTTCATCCTACAATTATGGGCATAACATATACAAAAAATAAACTTTCTCTCACAATAATAATAATTACAGGTGTTAATGCAACGAGCTAGGAAATGAAATTACTTTAATGTGTTAAGAAAAAAAAAAAATCCTAGCAACCAAAAATAAATTTTAAAAATCGACATTTTTTTTGAAAATGGTACATTCTAAAAGAACTAATTCTTTATTACAGAACATAATTCAAACTATTGTTGGTATTTCAATGTATTCCTAAAGAAATGTTTAAAAAGAAATTTCGTACACCAGAATTGGAACAGCACTTATAATTCAGTTTACAGCTATGAAAAGGCAATCATCTTCCACTTAAAACTGTAACCCGTGATGAAATATACGTCAAGAACATAAACATTTGGTCTGACAATCTTTAATACTGGTTGAAAACAGACTGATGTTTGTTGCTGATGGGAAATATCGTTAATCCAATGTGCAAAAAAAGTGCAGCTGTCTATTTGTACTTGAGATATGTAAGACCAATGCTTCTGTACTATTTACACAGGTAAAAGATTTTAAACATAATGATTTCAGGAAGGACACTGCATCTTCTTTATGGATAATCACGTGCTACCGAGAGCCCAAAAGCTTGATGACACTCTTTAATTTACACAAACGTATCCAAAGAAGTATACCTGTTCTTGTCCTAATTTTGATCCTAAACAAAAACCCAATTTCAAAATCAGGAATTATTTTGAGCTAGGAAATCTTGGACTTGTTGCAAATGTGCAAATCTTGTCTCTGAGAGCCAGGTTCCTACACTCCCTTTTCTAATCCTGTCACCACTGATCCAGCCCACAAACCCCATCAGCTGCAGAGTAGCAATACCCCAAATAAGAGTAAAAAAAAACTCAGCCCTCAAACCACCCACATGCCTTCTGGTCATGTGACATCTTTAGGGGCAGGTACAGGCAATCAAAAAGGATGAAGAAACACTTCAGCAAAGCAACCATTATTTGTCCACAAAAACCATGAAAAACAGTGATAGAAAATTAACAAACCAAATATATAAATCTGACACCATTTTGCATTTCCAGAACTTGTTTTCCTATCTGTGCACGCAGGGTTCTTGGTCAACCACCCACCCGTATTTCCTGCGTCTACACAAAGTACTTTTACTAAAGTTCTTAAAAATGTCGCCGTGACCCGTAAGTCACACAGAATGGTGATGGTCAGGAAATCAATCCACTCAATTATCACTCTGTGCGGTGCACTCCCTGGCGCAGCAGGCAGAGAGGGGAACTTTTAAAAACGGACAGAAGTCTCTCACTTCTGAACTGGGCCCAGGAGTTCTCAAATTAAAATCAGAAATCATAAAAAAAAGGGGGGGGGGGCGGTGGAGGGGGCCGGGTGCTTACTGGCAACATTAACACAAGACACCAGACGGGACAGTGAAACAGTTTGGTCAGAACCAAGGAACGGTTATTTCCTTGCAAAGTTTTCGAAACACCCAACCAAGCACTGCCTTATGTCCAGCGAGTATAAGTTCTTGGTAAGTTTCGCCGAAACGTGGAGGCTGGTGTTCATGGGTCGGGATGCGGGCTGCGGATACAGGGTGCTGGGCATCCCGGCCCCCCGCCTCTAGCTGCAGGCGATGGTCTCCAGCTGCTGCTCGGCCTCCGCGGCCATGGCCGCCGCCTGCAGCTGCTCGGTCTCGCTCTGCATGGCGCTGGGGGTGACCTGCTTGCGTTCGCTGTGCATGTTGTTCTCGTGCCGCTTCAGGTCGGACGCCTTGGCGAAGGCCTTGGTGCAGGAGCCGCACACGAAGGGCTTCTCGCCGCGGTGACGGCGCTCGTGGTCCTTGAGGTGGGACTTGTGCTTGAAGGCCTTGTCGCACATGTGGCAGGCGAAGGGCCGCTCGTTGCTGTGCACCCGCTCGTGCTTCTTCAAGTCCGGGGCGCGGATGAACGACTTGCCGCACACCTCACAGCTGTAGGGCTTGTAGCCCGTGTGGATCTTCAGGTGCTCCTTCAGATGCGCCTGCGTGGTGAAGCCCTTGGTGCACATCTCGCACACGAAGGGCCGGTCGGCCGTGTGCAGCTTCTCGTGCTTCCGCAGCCGACCCTCGTCCGAAAACGTCTTCCCGCAGGCCTGGCAGGCGATCTGCTCCCGATGGTGCCCGTACAACAGGTATTCGAACTTCATGTCGCTGGCCGCCGTGGTCCAGCCTGGGGTCTGCTCATCCTTCACTTCGCTCATCCCGTCATTAAATGTTAAGGCCTGAGGGGTCTGGGACCCCAGGTCCTTGGACTCGGGCGTCTCCATGGACTCCACCTCCTGGCCGTAGCAATTGACCTTCCGCACCTCCTCGCTGCCCAGCTCTTTCAGGATGGCCTCCTGCACCCTGAGCGTCGTGGTGGGCGATTTGCCGTCCTCCTGACTCGGGGGGGTGCCTTCTACCGTGTCATCCGAGGGGCTGTCGTCCTGGTCTCCGATTTCCTCCACGTCGTCGTCCTGAGGGTCGGCAGCATCCCCAATGGGGCGGTTGATCTTCAGGCAGTACTTGCTTTTCGACTGACCGTTGTTTTCGTCCGGGCTGGACACGTCCCGCTTCTGAGAGCAGAGTTTATCCAGGAATCGGATGCCGAGAATCTGACCGGATGACATCATTAAGTTAACATCTTCTTTTTTCACGGAGATCTTTGCCGTGTACATGTAATTCAGGACCTCTTCAAATATATCGGAACGGAGGAAATCTATTTCTATTACTGAGGAACTATCTACCTCAAGTTTCTTGAAAAGCTTTTTAAAGTAGGTGCTGCAGGCAGCGAGGACACACCTGTGCGCTCTGAACTTCACATCCTCGACCACAATCGCGATGTCGCAAAATTCTCCTTCCAAGCGTTGCTCGTTGAGTGTTTTCAGAAACAGAGTTTTATGATCATCGTCATTATATTTAATGGTTTCAGACATACTGATGAAAAACTCCTACAAGAAAATGTTTACAAAGAAAAAGAATTTTGGTAATTATGAACAGTACTTTTTATAAGAATTTCAGGGAGATTTTCATTTTCTGACCACTTTCTGGTTCCTAACAATTTCAGAAAACTCACTGTCAGGAGGGGTTCAAGAACAGGAGGAGAAAAGACAGATCCAAATTTAGAGATTTCCACACTGTTCCTTCTACTTATCTTCACTGTACTCAGCGTATGCTTACTCATAATAACAACAACTCCTACTGAGCGCGCAATACGTGCCTGGCATTGTGCTATGCACTTTTCATGTCTTCACAAAGGCAGTGATCAAATGACCTTGAGAGATAAGCATTGTTATTACCCTACTTCATGGATGAATTGAGGAACCTGCCCGATATTCTAGCTATTTAGTGGACCATCAGGGCTCTAGCTCCAAAACCAGTGCTTCCTGATAACTAGAGGTAATAATGACAACTCAGCTTCAAGGTTTAAGAAACTGTCTCTGGCAAGCATCCGCCAGTGCCGTCTGCTATGTCTAATTTCATGCCGAGGAAGATTCAGTAAAATAACTAGCAGCTCTCAAGGTTCTGTTTCCTTGACGGAAGAGACAGATCACTCCGCAGACCCAGAGAGGGTAATCATTTCCAGAACACTCCATTCAGAGTTATCCTCTGGTTTTTTCACACCAGTGTTGAGCTACTTCTGAACAAGGGGCAAAGTTTAATAGGACCCTCAGAGAATCAGATGACATTTGGGAAGACAGTGACAAGCAGCTTCATTCCCCCTTGGATGCCAGTCTATCTGTCATCCGGATCAAAGTGTCATCAGAACTGGATGCACGTGACAAGTGCGGCAGGGGTTTTATGAGCAAATGATATGTAGAACTGGCAGGGAAGACATCTGCCACGTGTTAAAGAAGTGATCTTTTTTAAAAATAACATATCCTGTGTATTTCTTTTCAAAAACCTTGTTTTTCTTTTATTCGACCAAGCATAAGTATGAGGAAAATACCTAGTCCCCTAAAGAATGCTAATACATAACTGAGAGACATTTTAAAGCTGACACCAATAATATTCTAAAGACTTAATATGCAAAGTCATAGTTACCATGAACAACTCAGGCTATTATCTTAACGCTTTAAACACCAAAATCTTCGGATCAGAATAACTCTGATCAGGGGCACGCCAGTCCTACAAGAGAAAAGGACATAGAAGAGTAAAGTTGGCTCTTTCCCTACCCCCAGTTGTAAACAAGAATGTTTTCAAAAATTGATTTTTAAAAAGAAACTTTCCTTTTTTGTCCTGTCACTGGCACCTGTACCCATTTTCAGGTTGGGAACAAAGAGGAGGGTGGCTGGCAGCGTCGGGTTCAGCTCTGAACAGATATGAAGGAGAAAAGGTAAGGGCTGGAGCACTAGCAGCCTGGAGGGGGTGTGTGACAGGAATGGGAAGGAGGGGCTGGGGAACCACTAAGGGATTCCCCCCACAAAGCCTCCCTCTGTATTTGCAAGGATTTTTATTGCTGCACAGATAGAGTAAAAGCTGGTAAGTACCTCGTTCCCCTACCATTTCCTGCTGGATTCACAGCCTTCCACATTTTTTTCTACTTGGCTTATATAAACATAGACTATATATTTTTTACATCGATATATATAGACAAAGTTAAGAAAAGTACATATACTCAACAGTTAACAGTGAGGGAGAGAGAACAGTAGCTGTTTACTTCTATCCACTCTTCTGTATGATGTAGTATAGTTACTTAAATCACTCTGGTCTTGAAGCTTGCATTAGAGAACTCCAGGTGTGTCTGCCTCTCTCCCTACAGGGAAGCTCAAAGGATTCTAGATTTTTTCCAGTTTATTTTTTTATTTTTATTTTTATTTTTTTATTTTTTCCAGTTTAAACTCCATTTTGCAGACCAACATCCTGAAAAACATCAAGCCTTCTCTACTGAACCGTGATCACACAAACTTGAGTGTGGCAGAACCAGAGTCCTGAAAACCTTCTACAGAAAAGCAAAAACATCATTAAGCTGCCTAAAGTGGCAGGCTGTTTTCTTATTTGCCAAGTGCGAGGACTGGGCAGAATAATTTCTAAGGGTGCACCCCAGCCTGTAGCCATCTCTCTGGAGCTTGTGGGATAAAGGTGCATGGACCTGGTACAGGAGAGGCGTACAGTACCCATGGCAAGGTACTTGGATTTTTTTTTTTTTTTTAAGCCTATGTGTTATTTGGCTCCACTCTCTCTCCAGATCTCCATTTCCCCCCCTCTGTTGAGATGTTCCCATTGCTAAGTTCAGGTGAGTCAAAAGGGAAGATCCCCGTTGCCAGTATACCTACAGGTGGAGGGCAAGATGCCGCCCCAACCACACCTCCTGGACGAAGCTGGCCCTGCATGTCGTTTCTCCAAAGCGCCGGCGCGGGGGCCCCCGCTAAGGCGAACCTACAGAAGCCGCGGCGACCAGCCGGCCGCCTCCCCGACCCCGGGGCCGCCGCGACAATGGCGGCGGCACCACTTCCCGGTCGAGAGCTCGCCGCTTCTGGATGGGGAGGGAGCAGGGAACCGAGCGCAGGACCCGGGCCGCCTCCGGAGCCTCTCCAAGCCTCGCTCCCATCCCGCTCGGCCCGGGAGGTGGGGACCGGGATCCAGCGGCTGGCATTCCTTCCCGAACAAAAGCTCCGGCCCGGGAAGCCGGGCGGAGCACCAGCCGTTTTCCCTTTTAGAATCGGGCTCTTAGGCGCGGGCTAGGGCCGCGGCTCCTAGCGCTAGAGGGAGGACCCACGGCGGCCCCGGCGGCGGAGATCGGGAGCGGGCGTGCGGCCGGGCTCCGCAGCCCCGCGCCGCGCCGCGCCCCGCTCCGCCCGCGAGCCCGGAGCTCGCGCCCCGCGCACTC